TAACCTGAAATAGTATAAATTCTAAAGTTTTCTTTTTCTCTCTTGGTCCTCAGCACAGCCCTGTGACAGCCAGAAGTTTTATGCCATCTAGTCTGGCAGTTTTGATTGAGTTATGATTTTTTTGATGAAAGCCTAGTAACTGTCTTTAAATGTGTCAGAGATAATCCATAATATGCAGCAAAGCGCTTTCATTCAGCCACATGTGAATGTTCTTGTTAGATATTTTACAGGCATTCTGTTTCGGGGATTTTCTTCAGCATCTTTCTCCTAAACCTCTATCCCTCTGCCTCTGAACCCTTTCTGCCTGTTTTTCTTTTCCCTTTTCCCGCCTCATATTCTGTTTCATGCAGCTTCAGTGTGAAGTTTGAACTTTGAAGTGATTTCTCCAGTGCCCACTGTTCTGCACTTGACATTTTTTGACATAGTGTCTAATCTTTAGTCTGTTCATGTTAGCAAAAACTTGGATGCTGTTGTTTACTGTGACACTCAGCCATCACTCCTGACCACATATATCTCTGTGTGTGTTCCCTGTCTCTGTCTGTCCACTTACTTGTACAGTGAAAGGTTCTTTGTAAGGCTGAATAAGAGCGGGCTGCCCAAGTCACCAGAGAAGACAGAAAGACAATGCACGCTATTTGTGGTGAGTAGTTAACACGGAATTTTGTTAAAAAAGATTTACTGGGAGCAATTTAAGGCTATATAAAGCTAACTTAACTCGTGCACTGTTATGCTGAAAAATAAAAGCAGTGTCAGTGCTCTTCAGCTTGTTCACAGTAATTGGATCGGACGCTTAAATATGTTTTCCTGCATCGTTTGTCAGGATTTGGGAAGCAGTGATCTACGAAAAGATGTCTACATCGTTGTGCACATCATAAGAATAGGTAGGAGTTGTGATGTTTCTTCTTTATTCTCCTGAGTACTACTCACGTTCTTAAAAATCTCTCTTTCATTTTCATACTGTTCTTACCGTGGATACCTTTGTGTGTCTGCGCAGGGAGGATGGGAGCAGGAGAGAAGAAGAACCAGTGCAACGTACAGTACAGGCGGCCGTTTGGCTGTGCTGTTGTCAGCATTGCCGATCTACTTACTGCTGACTCTAAGGATGACCACCTGCTAAAGGTTTATACGTAAGTGACTGTAAAGAACTATTATTTAGGAATTCTTCTTTCTTCTAAACACTGAACCAGTGCTAAAGTTTTGTTCAGCATGATGTGTCGTTTCCTTATTCATTTTCTTTCCAAAACCTTTTTGTTTTTGGAAAGCAGAAGTGATCACATATGCAGGTGAGGATGGAGTGCTAATTTCTCACTTACTGCTCACAAGACTGGTTAGCAAGCTACATGTATAGACTGAATGGATGCATTGCACAGACACCACCACATGGCTGCTTATTAGTGCTAGCATATAATTAAATAACACGAGCATTTCAGTCACAGGAAAAACTGGAACACAGACTTCTGGAACTAACTTTAGTTAAAACTGCAGGACATGTAGTCTGTCAGATAACTGCCTAAAATATCTCCAAAAGAATAACACTACACATAATACTACATAGAGGGTTCAGATTTCCAGTTAAGTGAATTTAGTGTTTGTTAGAGAGGCTTTCTGAGGGGCTTCCAAAGTTTTTCTTTGGACATTGGCTGCTTTTTCATATTTTTAGTCCAGTCCTTGTACCTAACCATTTTCAGAGCAAAGTTTCTTTTTGTATGTTAATCTACATAAAACTTACCTGTGAATCATTCAGGCATTAAAAAAACAAAACAAACACTTGATTCAAGTGATGAATCAGTGTATTGTCTACGCATAGAAGACAAATTTAGCAAATTTTAAATTAGATCGTTATTCACTGTTACTTTAAAAGAAAAAAAAGAAACACAAAATTCCTCCCATTTCTATAATTAAATCAAAAAAATCTAAAGATGACACAATTTGAAAAGCATAAAAAGGTATTTTTGCTCCAACAAGTTGATTACCTAAGAGCTATTAGTTGAAGGTTTTGCATGATATGCACCGTGTCCTCAAAAAATGTATGGAAACTGGACAAGTGCAGGACAAAATAAAGAGTGGCAGGGCTGAAAATCAATCCATAGCAGATGAACAACATGGAAGTCTCAAAGTTGCCATTCAGCCTTTTAAAAAAATCAGCAACACTGAAGCTCCAGCTGTGGTGTTTAAGGGTAATTTATTAAGCTAAGGGATTAAAAGCTTTACTGGGAAAAAGCGAGTGGGAGTCCTTTATCAAAGCACCTTATCAACAAGGCTGAAGCCCCCAGAAGTTGTATTAAAATATTCAGATGAACTGTTAACTTAGTTTGATAGCATGTTTACATGATAGGGGTTAATGAAGGCTGACGGCAGCCGACATGTTTTACATACAGGTGAACAAGGGTGAGACTAAAGGGGGGCATGGGGCGTACTAGACCAGATTTATTTTAAGGTTCAACTTTCAGATTGAAAGCGCACACTTAAAACACGTGAGAACAAAAACCCATAAAGCCTTCCAAGAAGACAGAGTAAAGATTCATTTTTTTATGTCTGAGTTTAGATTGCATATTTGTCTTATTTTATTTAACTATGACTGTACTTGAGAGTATTCATATAATTTTGGATTTAAGAAAATATTTTCTTTTTATGTAATATGAGACATAAATGCAAAAGGGAAACGTATTCAAGTAATCCTTTAGGTAAGTAGTAGTCTGAGTACACGAACATTAATCTGGACCAACAAAATTATGCACCTTTCCTTTTACACTTGACTGGAGTCAAGTCTGTGATTCTCTCAGGGATGAAAAGGCATCTGTTGACACAGTAGTTTGACCTAAATTATAGCAGCATCAGAGTAACCGGCCAAATGTACTTTGCTCACAAGAACATGCAGCCACTTTCTTCACACCTGAGGCAACAACAGGTTTTAGTTGGACTAGCATGAAAGTTGTGACCTAATTGTTTTGTGAGTTGAATCCAGACAAGACGTCATTGAAAAGCTGATTTTTTTTTTTCTGTCATGCCACCGTTAAGTGTTAAATACACTCAACAAAAAGCAGCTTTTGGTCACATGTCACATATACAGTGAATTTCAAGAAAGTGG